CATGTGTAGAAGAAAAAAAAATCTTTGTGCTTCCTGGCAAAAGTTAGGTACTAAGTAACGAAAGGAATCAGAAGGAGATTTACCTAATTTGACATAATGCAATACTTATCCATCGTGGGGCAGCTGTAACTTCTGCTGAAACAGAACTATCCAATCGTAACATGGTATGTCCAAGCATTTTGGAATAACATACAAAACCTCAGAGTGCCACTCTACTCCACCCACAAGGTCCTCAGAAACTCTTCCTGAAAGCAAGCTCTATCTTGAGTGTTGTACTCCTTATTTTTATTTTTCTTCTCAAGTTAATCACGTTGAAATAAGTTGTTGCTGGAGAAGGGTACTGGATTAGCTGGGCTTTTAGGGTGACTCTACATGCCATATTGCTATGTTTTCATGGATGGAAGGGCAGAGCAAAAGTCATGAAACCCAAGATGGAGATGACTAATCCAGCCTTGGCTTGGCAGCAGTGAGGGGATAGATTATCCTGTGCAACATAACTGTAGTCTGGAACATGGCAAATGTGAAAACYCTGACTGTGTTTAAAGCAAAAATAATTTATGAATTTGCTGAAAAATGTAAGGACAGGACAAAACTTGAACACTCCAAACAATTGGCTTTCTTTCCTATTAACACAAGCAGTATTTGGAGTTGGGTGGAGATCAGGACTGAGGCTRTTCCATCATTGCTTAGATCTGCTCTACTCAGTACTAATGTCCTGTTTAAATTTATAATGTTCCTTTTTGGAAAAGGTTATCACCAGTAGCAACAGGCAAAATATTTGGTACTGAATAGTCTGCATATTTGTCCTCTAGAATCCAAACCTGTCTATATGGAAAATAATTTGRATATAAGAGGGATCAGGTCCTGTATCTGCTATGGTTCCTGATTTTAGTCATGCAAAAGAGAAGACTCTCCGTAACTATTCTCTTTCCTTTACCCACAGCTACTTCAGAAATCAGAAAAGTTACTCSGTTTTATGGTAAATATCCCATGGCAGGAGTATCACTCTACATGAATTGCATTGTTTGTCTTCTATTCTGGAACAGGAGTTACTGCCCTTGTGCATGCTATTGCCTTTATCTACAGATAATGTATTTTCATCATCTCACCTCTTGGGGTGGAATCTCTGTCCAACTGAAATCAAAGAACAAACATCTAACTTCAAAGTGTTCATGATTTCTACTGCTTCTTGCTCCACACATTCATTGTGCTTTAGATTTTAAGTATTTCCTTTTATTTGTTTGAATGCTTTTTATTTTACCACATTYTTTTCCTGTCCCTCACATGAGAAGGAAGTAAAGAAACCACACTGATTTGCCTTATATTTCCTATTATCTCATAAACTTTTATCAAGCAGCTCCTTTCTGCAAACAAGAGTCCACATAAATTAAATATTTTCATACAAAATTCCAGCCTCTGATCAGTGTTCATTGCCCTTTTCCTGCTGCAATACCTTTGAGCTAAGTAATGAAGAYTGACCACAGTATCCAATATCAAAGCATACCATTAGTGCAACAAGGCAGGCACAGAAGTTCTCACTCTCTCCTTTTCCTTCTGACTTCTAAAAACCTGCTTTTCTGTTCACCACTGGGCACTGAACAATTACTGTACAGAGWAGATGGAAAAAACTGCAAAAGGTTAGAGTAAAGCAACATGAAAAAACAGCCCCTCCTTGTGATATTTATATTTCTGCTGCTGGCTCTGGCAGAAGTCCAGACTTGGAATGAACAAAACTCCCAGTGGCTTAGGGACTACATTATTCAGCCCATGGTCAGGAAATGCAAAAGCATGTGACAATGGGAAGAAATAAAGCAAGCCTTCCAATGCTTCTGAGCTTCCAGCTCAATCAGCTTGGATCAAAACYCAGGGACTGTTGAGATTTTGTGTGAATGAGTTCTCTATTGCTAAACAAAAACATGTGTGTGTTGTAGTGAAAGACAGTGAAGTGGCAAACAGCATGTGGCTTTGCTTCCTTGTTGATATTTGATTTTTACAGTACCAGCACTACATATAAAACCCCATTTTATGCACCAGGCCACTGTCGTCTCTCTTCAAACACAGTGACAAGCTTTCCCAGAATACAAAGTCAGCTCCCTATTTCTCCTTTCCAGRAAAGCTACCTGCTAATTGTTCATCACTGCTCAGTGCCAAATCCTGGTTCTYCTGAAAGAGCTGCCTAATGCTCCACGTCATTTGTTAACCAGGGATTCAGGAAAAACTGTGTCTTTTACAGCAGATTTCCTCTGGGGAACTAATTTCCCAAAACCAGATGTTAGGAAACTAATGACAAATTCTCTTCATAAACATTTAAAATGCAGAATACCCACCAAGGACAGAGTTTTCCAGGGCCCCTGAAGACACTGTATAGGGATTTCATCTTCCCTTTTCTTCCAGTATGGAAACAATTCTCATAGGACAGATGTTTGTCTTTACAGTCCTTGTTTTACCTAGAAGTTCTAGGACCACTAAACAGAGACCCTTTCCAWGCAATATTTTAAACCTATTTTATAATTCCTCTCCCTAGCTGGCAAGGTTAGTGACAGAGCAATAAAACCAGGACYTTCAAGACACAGAACACAGAGGGCAGCAGGTGTCTAAGCAATCTCATGTTGRCCATTTCCATGACCAGACAGAGCCAGGTTTATGCTTACATTTTCTTGAAAAGCATGAGATTTATGGTTTATGAGAAAACTCTAAAGAGGCCTGACTATTTCAACAAACTCACATTAACGGTTTCAGATATGATTTTTTTCTTTTATGGAATTATTTTTAATTTACAAACTCCTTATGAGTGAATCATATCACACAAATTCATTGAGAGCAAGCAGGTTCCTGCAGCAAGATCATTATTTTTCTGTCTGAGCACAACTGGGGATTGGTGAATTTTCTGAGTCCTTGGAGTCCTTTCAGTCTAACCCATAAAGGGGAAAGTATTTAAGAACTGGTAGGTTAAATAGATTGTGTTCATGGTGAACAATACAAGGGTCTGGCATTCAAAAATGGCACTCATTATGTTTTGCTCCTGGARCAGAATTTGTCTGTGAAATGCTTACTAGCTTAAAGCTAAAATATCTGGTAAAAAATACAGGAAACATGCTTGCCATCTCAGCTTCCATCAGCAAACCTTGCCCTGGATTAGCACAGACTCTGCTGYCACCCCAGCTCCTCTCAGGTAGGTTTAACATGCCTGAACCCCATCAATCCTAGGACCAAAGAGTGATGGGTGAAAACAAATGACACAAACTCCTTAAATGGCCCTGCCACCCCCGGGTAGCTGGGAGCCTGCTGGAAACAGTTTCCCCAATCCTGCATCCCATTGCTTTTGTTTATCTAGCCTTGCTGACATTTTCTTCAATTAGGAAACAATAGCTCCGTTCCAATGTACTGAGCAGAATTACTGAAACTGAGTCACGTGGCACCAGGAGAGTGTGTTTTCAATTATTCACTCTGTCTTTTTTTGCCAGGCCTATGAAGAGGAACAGCCTTCTGCAGGAGTCAGGTTTGTCTGCCTCGCYGTTGTAAGTTCCTCCTTTTGAATTTTTATTTTACAATTAGTTTGGCTTTTTTTGGTAAATTTTTAATTCAAGTCTTTGAGAGTTTCTTACTCTTTATTAGAAAACTTCCAAATCTTTAGCTCTTCCTACTGTGTGGAAATCCTAGMCATCTGCAATAGTTCAGTGCTAATAGCAGTGCTCAGTAACAAATCTGAATAAGATCACAAGATCTAGATTAAAATAGGWTGCAAGATCTAGATTAAAAGAGGATGCTGCTAGCACTTGGTAATGTAAAACTCATCTTGTTCTTGCTAGTGAAGTTCTGTCTTTCCTACTCTGGTTAACAGCAGAGCATTCARTCTGGGAGCTACACCAAATTATTTGCATCTTGTAAATGCTTGGTTTAATATCCAACCAGAAATTTGAACCAAATGGGCACAGCTCAGATCATGTATTTTGTTTGCAGAAGACAGACTGAATTTGGGCTCTTTAGACTTAAAGCTGGAAAAATAAAGCTTGGAGGAAAAAAAATGAAACAGAGAAGGAACATTTGGTTTGAATTACAAACCACAGACAGCTTCCATCAGGCGAGCTGGAGGTATAAGAATGGCAAAAGAAAATGACAAGCAGTGAGTGCACTGGAGAAAAAGATGAATGGTTTGGAGAACTGACTTTGAAGTAATTGTCCATGCCATCGATATCTCTGATTAAATTTGGTGGAAGATGGCAATGAATCATAAAGCTTCTCTGGCACTTGTGATACTGTATGCTGTGCAAAATAACATTTCTGGATATTTTTACTGGAAAACTTATAGTCCTATATTTCTGTCACTTATGCAACCTTGAATCAGCAGCTCTGGAAAGAATGTTGTCTTAGTTAGGATTTGTGATCTAATACTTATAGCAAGAGCAARTGTTTAACTGGAAATCTTCAGGTCTGCTGGGTTTATTTTCACCTCAGCCACTGGCTCACTGTGAGATTAGGTAAGTGATTYGGGGTTAAACTTCCTCTTTGAGTGGATGGAGCTCTCCTGGGGGTGRGGCAGGAGGAAACAGCTGATGCAGCAGGGCAAAGAGTTCTCCCTGCATAAGGCAAAATTGCTCAGGAGCATTACAGGGGGCTGGGAAAGCAGAATGCTCTTAGACCAATGTTCCCTTCAGCGTTTCAACAGGTGCTTCTCTGTGTCCCTGCATCCCAGATGTTTAGAAGAGCCAGAGAGGCACCTGTTGGAGATTTAGTAGTAATTTTTAAAAGGCACAAACAAGATGTCCTAAATATCTCTGCTCCCTTATGTCTCTTTTTCCAAAACAAAATCCTTAATGTTTCAGAAACTTGTAGTCTGATTATTGGAACTCCTCCTTGGATTTCCTAGCAAGACATTATTTCAGGGCAAAGTTTGAAAGTAGCCAGAATATGTGAAGTTCCCCAAAGTTGGTGTATTTTCTGCCCTTGTCTCTACAACAGTAATGCGCACTATCAGTTAGGTTCTGTGAGGAGAATAGAAAAGTGTTTGTAAGAAATATGATGATAAAAATTAGGTGAGAAAGTTAAAGTAATCAATTTAGACTTCCTCCTCTTGAATTTTCAGGACTGACACATTTCTACCAAAACATTTCTAGAAAGCTTTTTCTGAGAGTTTTACAGAGCTCCTGTTTGTTATCTTAATGTCCTCATTACCTTACTCATTTTACAAAAGGCCCAACTTTGCTACATTTTGATTGTATAACTTGTGTCCATTTTATCTTTATTTTTTTATGCTGAATCATGTGCTGAGACCAACCATTTCTGTAATAGGACACTTTTTGATTGATGTAGTGGAGCTGTATTCCTTTATAGAGTTGAATCCCTAATCAGATATTCACATCCTAAGTGCTTCACTGGATCTCTCTGTTACTCTTAAATGCACAGTCTTAAGTGAGTTCTGGTTTGCAAAGGTGGAAGTTTTATGGCAGCCTGACATTCYTTATTCTCTCAAGGCTAAGATCTACTTTTGCTAAACCACTCACAACTCAGATGTGCCAGGCAGAGAACTTAGCGTCGACAATTTGATTAATCTTCTTTGAATTATAGTGGTTTCATGAATCAAACTTCAGAAGGAGCSTCTTCTTTCCAAATAATATTAGGAGGATAGAATAATGCTTTTAAAGTATCTCCCTTTTCAGTTTGGGATTTCAACATGCAAATTCAGCAGATGCCCAAAGCAAGCAGACAATGGAAGCATCACAAACATTTATTAAAAGCACTCCACTCTGCTTGGGTAACATGGCAAGAGAATGAAAAGGTGAAGGAGAATCTAGTAGAGCTCTGCACAGCAGCAGAATTAGCAAGTCATGAGATATCACGTGGCTGTTCTCAGACTGAAAGGCTCTGTTGATTCGATTTATTCATCAGGGCTTTCCACTTGTGTAGGTTATTAAGTGGGAGAAAGTGGGGTATATTACAACTTACTTTTATATTTCCTTTCCTGGAGGATACCTAGCACCAGAGAAGCRGAGCAAGTTATTGGAAGTATCATGCCACATAAATGGGAGAATGATAGGAAAAAGAGCAGCAGCTCTCTGAAGATGGACCAAAAGAACAATACTGGGAACAGGAAATCAAGAAAGTTTCGCTCCATTTCAAGATCCCTTATCCTCTGCAATGCCAAAACCAGTGATGATGGGTCAAGTCCTGATGAGAAATGCCCTGATCCTGTTGAGAGCTCTACCAGCTGGGGTCAAGAGGATTTTGACTGCTGTCCCAGAACACAGCTGCCATGCACATCAGAGACAGARGACAGCCCACCTGATCCTCCACGTGTGGTCACCAGCATTCTCCAGTCCAAAGCTGCAGCAAATGAGAACTGCAACAACATGAGAAGGAAGGTCCTCTCCAAGGTAAGCAACTCGTGCTGTGTGTAGTGATGTTTCCCACTGCAGTAGTTCCTATGTGCATTAATTAGCATTTTTTAGGAACCAAGTTCTACTTGGCTTTTTCAGAGCCTGTGGGCCTGCAGTGTTCCTGCTCTGCATAAAAAGCATGAAAATACATTGGCTCTCTGCTACGCTGCTGCACTCTGCTGATGGACAATCTGCTGAAATCAGTGCCTCTAGGCCACTCTCAGTGCTCAGACAAGCACAGCCAGTGTGTTCTACCTGCAACRGAGCATCCAGCTCAAAATAAAAACTGTCACTGTAGCACAGTGCAACTGTAGTGTGATACCACAGTATCTCACAAACTAGGCAAGCATGAATTACATTAACACTGTGTAAGACACAGGAAACTGAGMAGGGTCCCTCTGATTCAGGAGGAAGGCAGTGATGGCTCTAAAACCACCAGAAACGTCAYATTTCATAGAGATGTAAAAAGTCTAAGAGCCTCACTTTGCTATGTTTTTCTTCAATCTCTGTAAACCCTAACAATCTGAACAATTTTTCAGTCTGAACAGGATATTTTAGATGCCTTCAGAAAGATCCTTTTTATTAGCATATTCTCATTTTTCCACTTGCTCTCTACTTGTTGGTGTGATGTGTAAAAAGGACCTCACTTTAATGTCCTCCTGGCACGTCCTTTATTGTATGCCTTTTATCTGTGCAAATAGGTGCTTATGTGAARGAACTGCTTCTGTCACCTAAATTGYKCTTCTTGTATATTCTATTTTATTTTATATACCTTCTACRTATATTACTACAATTAGACCACTATGTCTAAACACAAGTGCTGCCGAAAATCAGAATCTCTCTTTGCTGTTGATAATGACCTCAGCATGCCCAGCATTGCAAAGAAAGGATGGGTGCAAGGTGTTTCAACCCTTGGCAAAGTCCCAGCAGAAGCCCAAACCAAACCAACTTGCCATGACATTCTAACAGAAAACCAGACCCAAGTCCCAAAACGCGCWCAATTCCCTGCAAACCAAACCAACTGCTCCTTTTTGGAAGCAGCCCAAATGCACCCTGCTGCTGTCTGTGTGTGAGTGAAGAAGGAGCTGGCCTCTGTGACCCCCCCATCTTCTCTTTTTGGAAGTTGAGGCGCTCAGGTGTGTGTCAGCTGCCAGTCTCTGTGCTTGCACACCTCCAATAACTGCTGTGACCCAGATCCATATGCAGCTACTCAGTATCTTAYTGCAGACTGCAAGTTTAGATCATTTGCTTTTATAGCTGGCAAGCTGCTAAAATAGGGTTCTGGGGAATGCAGGAAGTCCCACAACTAATGCCTTTGCACATGTAAAACAGAATTGCTAAGGATTATAAATCCACTCGTAGGCTGAAGCATCAGTGTCACTGAAGAACATGTGCCAGATGGATGCTGACATAAATTAGGCAGCAGCTCAGGCCCTCACAGCAGCATTTGRGTTGCTTAGTGCTGCTGTAGACTAGGAGTACCATTAAATTCCCACTCCAGAGCTCTCACAGCAATCTTCAAATGCTACTTTGCTAATCTTCCATACCTTTCAGAGCCATGGATCAATGAGTGATTCTAAACAGCCTTATCTTGGCATGTTAAATAGGATGAACATCAGTAAGAGCTGCACTAACCCTGTCCTGTGCTACTGCTGCTGAGGCTTTCCCCCATAGTATGAAAGCAGTGATCTCTACCTTCCATATGGCACAAGCCTGTCAGAACAATCTTCCTGTATAACATGTCTTGCAAAGCTTAAGATTAAGATTTTTCTCATTAAGAAGTCAAACAAGCATTTTTTTCATGTCCCAATGTAATTCTCTCTCCATCTGAATATGACACTTCAKAAATTCACGATGTGTGACTCAGGGCTGAAGAATCCTTGTCTTTGTTCAAGAAAATTGATTCCACTCTTTCTGTGGTATTCTTGAGGATATGCCACTATTATTCTTCTTTCCAGCACCTCCACCCCTAAGCGTGACTCTGAAGGTGTTAATAACTCCCACAGAACTGAACAACTTAATATTTGCTGTCACAAGGAAGGAGAGATGAATGCTTAAAAGTACTGCATGATTTAAGTGCTCCCTGTACATTTCTTCTCCAGACTAAGGTGGAACCTGTAACATCAGTATTCAAAATACAAATGCTTTTTTCCTGTTCAAAACTTTAAGTGGCTCTCTGAGCCATACTCTACGGATTGCATGGGATTCACCAGAAGCAATAAACAGTTAACAAATCAAACAGTATTTCAGGACCAAATAACAGAGTGGATTTTTTTTTTCCTTCTCTAATATTCTGTCAGCAGAGAGAGCAGATGAACAGTCTTTTAATTCATTTKGTTTCTATGTTCCACTATTCACTTATAGTGACTATTGTTCACTGTTTCTGGAGACCCAGGGTTACTTTGGTGTCATTTATTCAGACCACTTACTTCCCAAGATGAGGTGTGCTTCCATCTGGTGTGGTGGAATGCCAGCTTGTCTGYGTAGAAACAAACAGATCTCCTTTATAGTCTGCTTCTCACAAAATCAGCAATTTTCATGGGGCCTGAGARGAAAAGGAACCAAAGAAATGTTAAGCAGTATCTGATACATGAGCACTGACACAGCAAACACTGTGGAAGATGTCTTTGCCTTCTCAGAGA